TGAAAATGCGCCACATCACTATTTTTTAAAAAAATAAAAATAAAAATTGAGAGATATTTTGACACCCAACATCTCTGATGTTATTCAATTGCCATGTGTCCTAATTAAATTGGGACACATGACACTTATGTATATATGTGTATATATATGATATTTTATATATGCTTTTTTTTTTGTAATTTATATTAAATCTATTGTTATATTTAAATTTTATAATATTTTTATAATTCATAATATTTTGTATTCTACAAAATGATAGCAATATTGAATATATTTTATCAATTTAAATTTTAAAATATATAAATACAAATATTATATAATTCTATTGAACAAATCAATATCAATAAATTAAATTTAATTTATTAAATAAAATATAAATATAAATTTTAAAGCAATTAAATAATATAAAATTAAATTAAACAATAAATATATTTAGTTTATAATTAATTATACATACATAATTAATAATAAGATATTAATATTTAAAAGACAAGATAAGCTAAATAACATAGAACAAAATACATATAATTTAAACAATATTTAAAACAACTCTTCGAACAATTTAGCCTTAACAAGTAGATCATGCTCCGTCAAATTATTTTTCTCCACTAGTGTTCGATAAAATTTCATTTTGGCAATACGCTCATTGCTTTTGATTTTTTCTTCCTCCAGTTTTGTCATGCGAGCAAATTGTGATGCAACTTCTTTACTTTTGAGAATTAGAAGATTTTTTTAGAGTTTTGCTCCAGTGTTAAAACTTGAATGTAGAGTAGTGGGAGAAAGTATAAAGATCTTTGATAAAAGTTTGTATATTTTCTTTTGTAAAATGCAATCATATTTACAGAAAAACTTAAACATTCTATAACTTATATATTATTTATATATATATATTATGTCTTGTTAAATCAAATCAATTTATTTTTGTCTTGTTTAATTTTTTAAAATGCATTGTTATATCACATCACAATATTTGTTTTTATCATTGTAGTAGTGATCAATCATTTCAAGTTTTGTCTTGTTGAGCTTTATTAATTGTATTGTTAGATCACATCATAATTTATTATTGTACTAGATAGGTTTGAACACACATGCATTGTTAGATCACATCATAGTTGATTATTGTACTAGGTAGCTCTAAACACACTTGCATTGTTATATCACATCATTGTTTATTGTTGTACTATTTATCTTTGAAAACACTTGCATTGTTATATCACATTATAGTTTATTATTGTATTCGGTAGCTTTAAATACACTTGGACTGTTATATCACATCATTGTTTATTATTAACTATTTAGCTTTGAAAATACATTGTTAGATAGCTTTGAAAATACAATGTTAGATCACATCATAGTTTATTATTATGGTAGATAGCTTTAAACAAACTTACATTGCTATATCACATCATTAGTTATTATTGTACTATGTAGATTTAAACACACTTGTATTGTTATATCACATCACTATTATTATGATGTGTCATCAAATTTATTTTCAATTATTTTATTATTGTACTATTTATTTACATATTTTTAAATATATCATTATTATTATTATTATTATTATTATTATTACTATTATTATTATTATTATTATTATTATTATTTCACATCATTATTTGTACTATGTAACTTTAAACACACCAGTATTGTTATATCACATCACCATTGTTATATGCCATAAATTCATTTTGAATTACTTTATTATTGTATTATTTATTTAAATACTTTTAAATATATTATTACTATTACTATTACTATTACTACTATTACTATTATTATTATTATTATTATTATTATTATTATTATTATTTATTTAATATAATGTAAACTATAATTTAAATACTTTTAAATATATTATTACTATTACTATTACTACTATTACTATTATTATTATTATTATTATTATTATTATTATTATTATTATTATTTATTTAATATAATGTAAACTATAAATACCCTATGTTGGCAAAAACTCTACGCTACAGTAAAAATACAAATTTAATATTAAAATTAAAATTCAAAAATAAATTAAAACTAAATTTAATTAAAAAATTAGGATGAATATCTATATTACGAATATAAAATAGAAGTGAGTATCCCCGCTCATGTATCAGAAAAAAAAAAAAAAGTGATATAGATAATAAAAAATAGTGAAAATAGCCGCTTTTGTATCTCCAGCGAATTGTGTAAGCCTACATGCTTGTAGTCCCTGCAGACAAATTTTGCCTTTTTGGCAACTTCATTTGTTTTGGTTTATATTTTTTAATAAAAAATCTTAAAAGGTAGAAAATTTGCATGTCTTTGCAAAACTACAATAAATTTAATTGATTAATTATTTTTATAATTATAGTTTAATAAAATATACATAATATAGTGCCATTTTGTAATAAACTTTTATTTACTTAAAGAAAATATAAATATATATTTATAATTAATATAAATTAATACTCAAATCATACTAATTTTAATTTTAAAAATTTAATTCAATATATATTTATATGATTATATTTATTACATATCAAATCAATACATATTAAAATCTTTAAAACTCAAATCAAACCTACATACTAAAAAAATTAAAAAATTCAAACTCAACCCCAACTAAATTTTTTCAAACCTCCTTAAAAGAAACATACATTAAAACTACGATCCTTAAGATATCCCAAAATCAAAACCCAAAAACAAAATTAAACCAACAAACACACCCTTACATTTTTATATCTATCAATATTTGTTCAAAACTTATCTTTATGTTCTCATTTTTATTTTACTTTTTAAAATTTTTGAGATTTTCACATATATCATATTTCTATAAATATAATAAAAATTAAATTATTGAAATATTAATCAAATCTTAGATAAGAAAATACAAATTGAGTGTGTTCGCTTTGAATGTTTGGATGAATGTATTTTTATGTTAAATCTAAAAAATAATACTGACAATATAAAAAATAATATTTTATGTTGATTTGTTAATATTTTATTAGTGAATAGAATATATATATATATTATGTATTGTATTTATATGTACATATTATATATATTTTTTATAATATTAATAGAAAATCGTATCACAAAAAATCGATTGAGTGAACAAATCCAACAATTAAGTTAATTTAAAATCCATATTATATTGATTTTTTTTAATTATGTCCACCTTTTAATTTTCGTTTTTCCTATTGATTTTGTTACTTTTTTTTTTAAAAAAAATAAGAATTATATACTTTAGAGGGTGTTTGGGAAAACCTAGAGCTTTTAGCTTATTAAACAAATTTTAGCTGTTTGACCAATCAAAAAGCAAATTTAGGTATTTGTTAAATTAGCTTTTTGAAAAAGCTTTTTGGACCCAAAAAGTTAATTTATGAAAAACTCATCTACTCAGCGTTTTGAAAGAGCTTTTTCATTTTAATTTTGGTTATTCCTTATTTTCCTTTAAAACTTAATTATTTATTTTATAGATATAAATATATTTTTATAGCAGTATTTATTAATTATTTTTAATATTTTTAATATATTTAATTTATTAAATTATATTTTTATTTTTGTAAATTTAAAATAATTACTATTATTAATTATTATGTATAAATTATTTTATTTGTAAAATATATAAATTTTTAAAACTAAATCAAATATAAAAACATAAAGGTTATTAATTTATTTATATATTAAAATAATAATTAACATAATAAAATATATATATATATACGAAAGATTTATTATTTTATATTTTACATAATTTTAATATAAATTTAATATTTTTTTATTAAAAATAATTTTCTCAAATTTAAATAATAAAAATAAAAATAAATATTTTATATAATATTTTTATAATTTGCATTAATTAATAATAAAAATTTTCATAAATTTCAAACCAAAATGAACAAAATTAAATATTTTAAAAATAACATATCAATGTCCTTAATAGTCATTTTATGTATAAACAACTAATGTCAAACCGTTGTTTTACCAAATATTTTAATACAAACCGCTAATTGAATTAGCTAGTCAAACCAACTAATTAAATCAGCTAACAGTTAACAACTAATTAAATCAGCTAAAAGCTAATTGCATCAGCTAACAACTAAAAGCTATCAGGTAATTGTGAAACGCAGCCTTAATTTATACTTATTTTTAAATTTATAATATTTTAAATTTTTAATTAAACTAATTAGTTATCTAAGTCTAATTTATACTTATTTTTATTATACAATAATTATTTTCATTAATACTTATACCTTTTTAAATTACTGTGTCTACGGTAAAATAGTAAAGTGAACACCGAGGACGGAGAGAGCAGTATAATACCCTATAGATAGATATTATAATATAACAAGAAAAAAATAAAAATTAAATTTATGTTTAAATTTGAAATTTAAATATTCCAATCAATTAATATGATGTAAAAATGTGTTAAATTAAGCAGAGTAACATGTACTCCCTACCAAATCCGCATGAAATAAAAAATTCACCTCCATTGTTTGGTCCGGTGATGTAGGAAGAACTCGTAATACGAGGTTATGAGTTTAAACTCATGTCTTTAAAATTTGTCAGTTATACATTAGTTCGTCTAGTATGACTTATTTTGTCAAATCTAGTCTATAAACTATTAATTTCGATAGAAGTTTATCCGAAATGTATTAAAAGAATAACAACGATTTTTTAAATTATAAAAAAAAAAAAGAAAATAAAAAAATACATCTCCATCGAAATACAACACACAATAAGCGTGTGGTACGTACGAAGTAAGTCATGAATAGGACGTCGTCGTCCTTAATCATTTTACCCACAATTTGTTTTCTTGTCGGCCATCCAAATTCCAACTTATATTATATCCCATCACAAACCACATTTATTTTTAATCAAATACCAACTGTCAGTTATCCAATTGATTTAATCTTAGTCATGAAATATAGAAAGAAAAGTCCAAGTCAAAACTCATAATAATATAAATTAATTAGAATAACTCATCTAGAATTAGTCAGTCAGTCCACACACAATTGACACTCCTTAACTATTAACTAATCAAGAACTCCTTCTTCAACCTCCACTCTCAACTCCTCTGCAATTCAATGGCGGAAATTGAAGTGCCCCCATACTTCCTGTGCCCCATAACCATGGAGATGATGAAGGACCCCGTCACCGTCTCCACCGGCATAACCTACGACCGGGAGGCCATCGAACGATGGGTCTTCTCCGACAACAACACCACCTGCCCCCTCACCAAACAGCCTCTAATCATCTCCATCATCACCCCCAACCTCACTCTCCGACGCCTCATCCAGTCCTGGTGCACTCTCCACGCCTCCAATGGCGTCCAGCGTCTCCCCACCCCTAAACCCACCCCCACGCACCCCCAGCTCTCCAAGCTCCTCCAAGACTCCTCCAACACCATCTCCACCTCCCAAATCAAATCCTTGCAGAGGCTCCGATTAATCGCCGCCGCAAACCAATCCAATAAAAGATCCTTGGAAGCCGCCGGCGCCGCCCAGATCCTTTCCTCCTTGATCGTCGCTAAATCCCTCCATGGCCATGAAGACGATGACTGCTGCGAGGAGGCTCTCGCCATTCTTTACACCCTCAAATTATCAGAATCCTCCCTCAAAACCCTAACCAAAAATCCCCAATTCTTCCATTCTTTAACCCTCCTGATGCAAAAAGGACGAAGCTACGAATCTAGGGCTTACGCCATCATGCTCCTCGAATCCATGGCGGAACTCGCCGATCCTTCTCAGCTCATCAATCTACGCCCACAATTCTTCACGGAATTATCCCAAATCCTGAGGGATCAAATCTCCCCAAAGGCATCAAAAGCAGCGCTCACAGCGTTGATCAATGCTACCCCATGGGGGAAGAACAGGATCAAAGCAGTAGAATCTGGAGCAGTATCAATCCTGATCGATCTTCTCCTCGATTCATCCGATAAAAGACAGTGCGAGATGATTCTTACAGTGTTGGATCATCTCTGCCAGTGCGCCGAGGGGAGAGCCGACCTGCTGAGCCACGCCGCCGGATTAGCCGTCGTCTCCAAGAAGATTCTTAGGGTTTCCCAACTCGCCAGCGAACGAGCTGTCAGGATATTACACTCGATTTCGAAATTCTCGGCGACTCCGGCAGTGGTGGCGGAGATGCTGCAGGTGGGTGTGGCTGCCAAATTGTGTTTGGTGCTTCAGGTGGACTGTGGATCGAAGAGCAAGGAGAGAGCTGTAGAAATGCTGAGATCGAATGCTAGGGCATGGAGGAATGCCTCCTGCATGCCCAACATTTTGATTTCTTCATATCCATGTTGATCCAGAACTTTCATGGATCCAATTTGTAAGTTGTAAGAATGTGAAGATTTTGATTACTTCCGTATAGTTTGAATTGTATTGATTGGGGATGTAAGATAGTAAAAGTTTTAATTTTTTTTTGATATGATTGTGAATGTTTATGGGATGGAGAGGAGGAATAATACACAAGCTATCAATATAAATATATTAGAAGAAAAAGAATACTAAAATGAAATACAAATTATGTTTGATATGTGAATTTATTGATGCAATATTTTGCAGATAAAATTAATTTTTAGTATAATATAAAAAATAAATATTTAATTTAATATTTTTTGAATTTTGTGATAAAATCCTTAAAAAGAAAGTAACAAATTAATGTTTTTAAGGATATTTTAAGGTCTTTGTTTAGTGTTTATGGCATATATATAATTTTCTAAAAATATTGTCAACAAAATACTTCATCCAAATATATGCTCATTTGTCTGGGCACAGGTGGTAATAAAAGTGAATAATAATAATTACTTTTTTTTATAGAAAAAAAAATACAAAAATATAATAATTTTTTACTTAAAAAAAATATTTTTTAATAATAATCCAGAAAAAATGAATATAAATTTGAATGAAGGGAAAATACAAGGTATATATATATAAACATAAACATCAATTAAAATACATAAAAAGTCAAAAAAAAAAAAAAAAAAACATATAGTAGAACATTGAAGTCAACAAAAACATACAAGATGGTTGCTTATAGTACTTTCACAATTATTTGTATTTTACAATAAAAATATCTAAAATTATTAATACACAAAAAAAAAATTATAAACACTAAACAAATTAAACACACTATTGGAATATTTGTGTTTGTTTTTTTAGACTTTGAGGTGTTTTTGATTTAGATATTGAGAAATATGTTGGTAATATAAAAAATAAATATTTTTGGAATATTTGTGTTTGTCTTTTTAATTTTGAGGTATTTTTGATGTAAATATTGAAAATATGTTGGTAATATAAAAAATAATATTTATTATGTTTGATTGATAAAATTTTTTTATAGACAAAGTATATTTATACTATATGCACCGTATAAATATATAATATATACTGTATTTTAGATAATATTAGTTTTACGTGCCAAAAAAAATTGGTTGGATGAATAATTTATTTTAAATTAATTTGGATTTGAGATATGCTTAAATTGTTTTTGTGATTGTAACTATTACAGTTCTGATTGATGTTGTAAAAGTAAATGACATTATTTTATATAAAATATAAAGATTGCTCTCTCCATGTATAAAACTTATTTTCATTTTTTTTCCTTCAGTTAAATTCAATTCTTATTTTTTACAAAGATAAAAAAATTAAAATTTAATTATTATTTTTCATTCAATATTTTATTTATTACCACTGCCACAGCCATTGCTAGAGTATCATTCTCATTCTCTCTTCATTATTATTATTATTTTTAATTTTTTTTATATATATTCCAATTAGGTTTATACATGTATCATATTTTTTTAATAAAATATTTATTTGTTAATGTTTCCGTCAACCCCAAATGGATTAAATTTATAGGACACGGAGAATAAAAAAATATTTTCGCTATTTTACTGTAATATATATATATATATTTTAATGTTTTACTTATCCTTAAATATGAAATAATTAGCTATATAAAAGTAAATATACATTTCTCTCTCATCACATTTCTTAATTCTTAATTTATTTTATTTAATATTATTTATCTAAATTCTGTGCCCCAAATCAAATATTTCACGGATGGAGTAAAATATAATATTAAAAATAAATTTGTAACATATTAATCACCATATAGTTAATACTATAATTATACTTATATTTATTATAAATTAATAAAAATATTAATAAATAGTGAATCTCTCTCAACTATTTTAAGATGGTTGGCCAAAAATTGTGTTGGCTAACAGTAGGAAAATAAGTTTCAACACATATTGGACCTTATATTTTACGCATATTTATAAATGAAGAATTTACCTACCACACTATTTAAATATATTGAAACCAACATTCTCATTAAATCATGGTTGAAAGTTGTTCTAAACATAAATACTTTTTTAAAACTAAAATAGATCATTAACGCTTGTTGTGCTTAGTGAATACTCCCTTGTCCTACAATAAAGTATTCATTTTTCTATTTTAGTCTGTCCCACAATAAACTATCAATTTTTTTTTAGTAAATATAATATCTACCTAACTGGTAAATTGATAAAAAATCCTATCACCTATTTTTGGCATATTAACAAAATCTACATTTTATTGTTGTGGTCGTTAGATACCAAAAACAACAACATTTAACCCTGCTCTAGAGGACTCAGATGTGCAGTCTTTTCAAGTTGTCTTTTGTTGTCTTTTCCAAGGAATGGTGGTTGCTGAAGACAAAATGAAGACTTTGAGTTTGTCCTCTTGTGTTCAAAAGTGATTAGATACACACCATACCTTGTTTGTATTAAGGAATTAATTGCATGTCAAATGAATGGGTGTTGTGGTTACTCGAGTTTAGTGCGAAGTAATAGAGAGGTTTTTGAGAGAGTGTGTAGTGAGAGAAATATTGTATCAATCCTCCAAACCTCTTCCGTTCTCATCTCCATGTTTTGAGTGAGTGATATACACTATTATCTTGCCGGAGAAATTCGTCGGTCGAAGGGAGATCAGAGTTTCGATCAGGAGAACATTCAGAATATGAGCAACCCATCTTGTTGTTAGTTGTCAGTACGCGTTTGTGACAACATATGCCTGTGGAGGGAATTTCGTAGGTAATCAGCTTGTAGTTTGGGTTGAAGGATATTTGGGTGTTTTGTTCTTAATCAGATTAATGAACCTCTCCTGGATTGATATCTCCTGGATGTAGGATGATTTATATCCGAATCGGGTAAACAAATAACTTGTCATTTATTGCTTTGGACTTGCATTTATTTCATTGACAAGTCGCCGTTATAACTGTGATATAACTACGCTTCGTGAGTTGGCCCCATTTGAATAAGTGTACGAGAATTTATTGGTGCAGTTATTCTCACCCCAACACTAACATTACAAATATCCTTACAACTTATAATATATTACACAAATGTCATTACCTTTATATCACACAATACTAATAAGATTATTTTAGTCATTTTTACTTTATTCTTACTAAATCTTAATATAATATTAATATTTCTAATACTTCGTAAAAAAAACAAATATATATGTAGTTATGAGACGGATCGAATATATTCATAATTTGATTCATTAACTCTAGATATTCAAAACCCTCTCTTGCTTCTCAATATTTGTCCGAATAATATATATATATATATATCAATATGCTTATTCCAATTGTGAGAGAGGATTCTTGAAAAAGAGTAATAAGTAGTTAATTTATTGTCAATTATGATCACTTTGTCTTTTAATTTTCACAATAAAATTTTTCAACAACAGTAGAAGCCAAATAGCATGACAAGTGCCAAAATGTGACAGGCAACATATATAATAAAACTCACAAAATGAGGGTGAAACCATGTGATGCTTTTTTAGCACCAAGAAATTACATTATTTTTCTTGAAAATGTAAATTCAGTAGTGGTTTTAATTATTTAGATTTATTTAGGGTCTGTTTTTTTTAGGAAAGTTTGGGGAAAGTTGAGTTTGAGATTGATTTTTATTTGAACTTTGGGATGGATTTGAATTTTGTTTGTTTCTTTTGTGTTTGAGTTTAGTTGGGGTTTGAGGAGTTTTGATATGTATTGATTTGATGGATAATGAATAAAATAATATAAATGTGTATTAAATTTAATTGATAAAATTTATATTGTATGATTTGATTATGAATTTATATTATATACAACATATATATTTAAATTTTTATTTATTTGTATTATAAAAAATTTTATTCTCTACAAAATAATAATATATATATTGTATATATATTTTTTACCATATAATTATTATAAATATTAAATAATTATAATATTTTGAAAAAAAAAATAAAAGTGGCAGCTTTTTGCTGCCATCTTTGCAGCAAATGTCGGGGGAGCGCTCGATTTGGGGAAAAAACTGTGCAAACATACAGACCCTTAGTTCTGATTTTTTCGAATATATATATATATTTTTCATGATTTTGTTATATAGAAAGTGTACACATCTTGTATAAGAGGATACTTCATGGCCTTCATGATTCTCATAATTTTGTCCATATGACTAAGCTTGTGGGCAAAAAAATCGAATTGAACCGCCGAATCGCTGAACTGAACTGAATTTTCGGTTAATCAAGCAAATTCGGTTAGAATATAAATACTGCACATTTGATATTTGTTCTGTTTGGTTCGGTATCGGTTTTTGATATTTTTTTGCTTCGATTAACTGAAACGGATATATTTATATTGTTATATTTTAAAATTTATATTAATAATTTATATTCGGATCAATTTCGGTTCGGTTACGATTCAGTTTCGGATCGGACATTTGAAATAATTACAAATATTTTGATATAATTAGAATTTTAATTATTTTTTAATATATTATTTTTTAGTTTCGGTTTGGTTCAGATACCGTTCGCGATTTCGGATACTTTTTCGGTTCAATTTGGATATCAAATACCTGCATATTTGTAAATAGGACTCATCCTTACAGATATTATTTAAATTATATTTATTGTATCCTTTTATAATAATATATTTTTTAGTATATATCTCTCCCTCATCCTAATTCCTATATGATCCTTTTGTTGAACCATTCATCTGCATCGTCGCCCTCAGTCTATCGCCTCCGCCGACTCAATAGTAAATTTTTTTTTTGTGAAAAGATCAAGTGAAGGAAAAAAAGACATGTTTTAAGTCAGAAACAGTAGCGGAGGCACACAAGGGTTCGGGGGTCCCAAGTCATTCGGAGACACCCCTGAGCCGTCGTCTTCGTCATTACGTCGATTATATTGTTGGTTATATAGATTATTTGTCCGTTCAAATTCGATTAATTTTTATCAAATTAATATTTTTATATTAATTGAATATGTTAAATATATATATTTTTATCATCAATTCTTCTAAAAAAAAATCTGATTTTTCAACCTAAACAAAACATTTAGACTCCTGGGAGAAATAATTATGACTCCGCCACTGGTTAAAAAATAATACTCCCTCCGTCCACAAACTAATGTCTTATTTTTTTATTTGGGACATCCAACAACTATTGTCTTATTTCATTTTTTAAATACAAATTTTATATTTTTACCCTTCGTTCATTTATTACTTTTAATCTCTACTATACAATTAAAGGCAAATTTGTCAATTTATAATAAAAAACAATTACCTAAAAAATGGTGCAAATATAATGTATGACAAAAGAAATTGGACTGAAGGAGTATAAATTTATACCTCACATCCAAATTTGAAATATATCTTTCTCAATCATTGGATTATGGATTAAATCATTGCACAGAAAGTCGGCTAGCAATTGTTGCCTATATACGTGTTTGTTGGGGGAATTGGATTTTAGATTGAGATTTCAATAATATAAAGTTTGAATGTGATCAGTTGTATGATGCGATAGATGTGATATTTTGAATGTAAAATTGATTTTTTTAATATAATATAAAAAAATAAAAAATAAGTATTTAATTTGATATTTTTTGAAAAAAAATTAAATTAATAATAAAGTTTGGAAAAAATGCCACAAACAAACACATCCGTACTGCAAGGCATTAAGGTTGTATACATGCATTTCCCCTTACAGCTAATTTACATAAATGATTTTATTAATTTGATATAATTATGTACCTGACAGGTGTCAGTTCTATCAATTTTTCTTTATTATTATTATTATTATTATTACTCTATATAAAGCAAGGGACTTATGATCATATATTTAAATTGTTCATAACACTAATTAAGGGTTGAATTTTAGCTAAGTTTGAACAATTATATTATTAGCAGATTGATTCATTTTTTAAAGATGAAAAAAAAATAAAATTAAAAATTATTATATAATTTGGAGCACATTGATAAGTTCGCCACGTGCAATTTGGAGCACATTATTTATTTATTTTAAATTTATATTTTATTTATATATAAATTATAGTTTAGTATGTATATATAATTTTATAATATATATATTATTTTAACGAACAATTCGTGAACAAAGTTCAGCCTCATTTGTTAACCAAATGAGCTTGTTTATATTGTTCGATTCGATTCGTTAACATTTGTAAACAAGTTTTAATCGAATCGAATTAAATCGAATTGAGTCAAATTCACGCACGGGCTCGATTCATTTAAAAACTCTACTTATTTATAATTCTACAAAAAATATTATAATTAAGAAATCCATCATAAATAGATATAAAAAATAAAGAAAAATAGTAACTATTGTAACAACTATAATTAGAAGTTTGTATAAGAAGATTATCCATTAAAGTACAACTTATTTTAGGAAATCATAAATATAGTAAAGTTTATCTATCCAATAACCAATTAATTAATTTATTTCTCATTGATCACAATTTGATTTGAATATATGTATATATATATATATATATATCAAAATTTAACTTTCAAGAATAAAATATTATATTCAATATTTATATTTCCAAACTCTTTTCAAAACAAGAATTCGAACAAGTTTTTGCTATTATTCTTTTCCGACCAACTCACCTTTTACAATAATCAAGACAAATATTATAAAAGTTTGAACTTAGATTTTAAAAAATACATGCACAAATCAAATTTTCTTTTATGCAAGTTCAATTCTCCAAACTTGTATTCTCTAGTCATTTATTTTTCTTTGGAAAAAATAAAAAATAAAAAAATTAATGTTGATCATGATGGGACCAAGTCTCCAATTTGAAAAAAATCATGTTATGACATTTTTTTTTAAATGAAAACTCGTGGTAGATGTGCTTGACACCAGTCCAACCTTTGTTTAGTTTCTAGTTGTTTATTATTATTATTATTATTATTACTTTTTTTTTGCCAAGAGTTTCTCATTCTTTAAGTTTTAAGTGGACATTGGCTTTGGTAGTGAATTATTTTTTAAAGATGGTGCTTGTTGTAAGAATTTGTTGTGTATTCTTTAATGGATTTTATTTGAATACTATTTTTTTTTTAATACTTCGAGTCTTATGAATAGTAACAATGAGACATTTCATTTTACTCCGAAATATCTTGTGGAATTGGAAGATAAATTTTTGTGTGGCTCCAAATTACATTTTTCGAAAGGACTTAAAAAATTTTGTGTGGCTCCAAATTACATTTTTCGAAAGGACTTCTAAATGTGATGTGTTCTTGATCCTTCAAACTATTTTATCCTCATTATCCCAGGTCATATCTATTCTCTTTTATTCTTTAGAATAGCATTTGGGCTTTAAGTGCACAGTCTATTTTGGACCTGTTGTCGGAGACTCCGTCCGTCTTTATCTTCGAGCCTCTTTTTCCGGAGCTTTATATTCTGAAATTGATTCCCTTAAAGCCCGATCCTTTGGAACTTCATTATTCAGAGTCTTGTTGTGTGGCAAGTAAGGGGCTTGGACAGATTAGAAGGCTATGGTTTGCTTTGAAGCCGGGTCTTGATCTTCTTACTTTTGCTTCTGGCCAAGTTTCCTTCGTGTTAAAGGTGCTTTTGGAATGTATATTAATTTCAAAAAGTCTAAATGTGATGATGATTGTACCATTGTCATTTTTAAGGTGATTTTTTTTTTTTAAAGATTAATACCGTATTTTGGCCAAACTACGAAAAATAAGGTTGGGCCACGATTGGAGTGATGGCCCAACTAGTCTAAGTGTGTATTCGGTATCAATGGAAACCCTTAGGAAGTGGAAAGGATGGATGATGATAAAATGGTGATTAATGGAAGAATTAATGAAGTACGTTACAAATTACTTTCTCCGTCCAACCTTTATATCTAATTTAAATAAAATATAATTAGTAAATAATAATATATATATATATTAGTAAAATTCGTTATTATTTAATATAAATAATTATAAATTAAATTAAATTTACTAATTATAAAATTTAAATTGTGATTAAAATATATATTTATTTTTTCAAAAAATAGAAAAAAGTATATGAAACGAAAAATAGTGAACAAATAAAACGAAACGAAACTCTTAATAGGAGTATAAACAAGAGGCATGTCCAGATGGGAAAAGGATCCTAATGTTCAAGATCACATTTTTATTTGTTCATCTTTTCATGATGCTACATAGCCTTGAAATGTTTGGCAACTCAACTCAGCACCGTAACCCCGCTCGATTCTATGCGCCTTTCGACATGAATTGTCGCCTCTTGCAATATTTTCTCCACCTCTTCATTATCTGGGATCGTTTTCAGCAACGTCTCACAATCTTGCATACATTCTTCCCATTTCCCCAACTGCCATGACGCTACAAATCATCAAATCACTGTAGATTGAATAGTAAAAAAATAGATGCGACAAAATATAAGTAAACACATATTCGATGTTTTCAAACATTAAAAGCTACATCAACATAATGTAGAGATAATAACCTTGGCATAGCAATCAGCTCTTCTTAATCTAGCTTTGCCATAGGACGGGCGAACATTAAGCGCCGCGTTGCAATCTTCCAACGATTTCTCGTAATGCCCGAGTTTTGAGTTGCAAGCTGCTCTGTTGCAGAACAAGACTGCGTTGCACGGGTCATTTTTGAGCCCTTCGCCGTATGCAATTCTTGCCTCCAAATATTTCTCAGCCTTGTAAAGCTCATTGCCATTGTGTCTGGCTTTCGCCGTAGCCCTTGTCCTCGTTAAAACCTTACTCGCTTCACTGCTGCTCGGGTTGAGCCTCATTGCTTGTTCAGCTGCTGCTACTGCATCGTCAAACCTGTTTAGCATCACCGTGCTCTTGGTTAAGACAAAAACAACGGAAATATTCATTTAAGGATAATGAGCTAGCTATGCTAAATCCAACCTCCCATAAACCATGTCTAATTGCGCGCGGCATGCTAGCACGGCTGCGCTTCCATTAGGGCCGAAGAGTCGTGTAAGTTTGTCCATGTCAAAATGAGAGCATTTCTTGATCGCTTGGATTGCTTCTTCGTGCCTACTTATCTTTAGCAGGGCTTCAGCTCTCATAGCATATATCTTGACATCATAATCAAAACATGAGTAAGAACAAACATATTGTAACGATCTAAGATTCGATGTCCATGGAGGGATGTACCAGTGGTGCAGAATCAGCTCCGGCTTCTGTCAAAACCCCGGTCTCCTCAACAAGTGTGTTCCAATCTCGACACTTCTTTGCCTCGTCGCAGTTGCTCAAGTGAAATCGAATCTTTTTAGCCCTTTTCATGGCATCAAGATCGGCTTCGGATCCCGCCTGGTTGAAATGATGCATTGCCTTATCAGATTCTCCTAATCTGTCGAAAACACATTTAAATCAAGACTTTGATACAATCCAAACAACTTTGTTGAGAGAGGTAAATTTTTTTTACATACCTTACATAAATAGTTGCCAATCTATTATGAGCCCTCTGGTAAAAAGGATTGATTCTAATGGCCTCCCGACATTCGAATGCAGCTTCAAGAAGATCTCCCAATGCGGCCAAGGCCGCGCTTTTGTTGCTTCTATAAGAGGCCTTGTTTGGGTCGAGGGCGATTGCTGCATCATACAGGGCTACGGCCTCGGCGAATCTGCCGTTCTTGTAATCCTCATTGCCCAAGATCTTGAGCTGCTCGGGGTCCATTCGAGTCGACAGGGCCCGGCAAAAGGATACGGGCTTTCCGGGGTCATTGTATGGTTTCTTGACAACATTTCCCATCACACTGGTGGAGTATTTCACATTTTTTGGACTATGTTCTTCCCTGGATATCTTCGAAGGACTTTCGGCAGCATTGTTTGAATTCGTATTATGCCTCAAATTACCTAAATTCCCAAACAACATGACATTGCTAGATGAAGCCCGAATTAGAGGCCCGGTCTGTCCCTCTGACCCGATCAGTTGATCCTGGATCATGGCTTCCAGTTCCAGTTCACCGGGGACGATTTCTCTTGCCACGGCATGTCCCTGCTGGCTTCTTACCTGGATCCTGCGGTTCTTGTCGGGATTTTGAGGACGGGGCACAATCATGTCGACCTGTTTCTCATTTTTCTGGCCACTGGAAATCTGACGCGAATCTTTCCGGGGTTTGGATCCTGGAATGCTGGTGGTAATGGTATTGCCGGAATTTGAGGTTGGGAGAGATTCTCTGGACATTGATCTTCGTCTAGGATGTCTGCAGCCAAAAACTGTAGTGAAAAGGCCACAGCCTGCTGATCTCTTCTCCGGGGAATCCATATCAGTCTTGGAATCGACCTCGCTGCCCATGGAGATTGATTGATTGATTTTATAAATAAATATATATATATTAGCTAGAAATGGTTTTTCTGTGATGTATTAAAAGGTGTTTCTGGCTGAACTGTGGTTGCAATGAATCGAAGATGGGAAGCTCGCAGGGACATGGGAAAGGATTGATGATGAAGAACAAAAGCGTGTCATGGTTTGATCTTTTATTGATGTTGGTTGGAATTGGAAACATATTTTATGTAATGAATAAATTACTATATATTAATTAATAAAGGAGAGTGGAAGGAATGTTCATTGACTGAATCATAATATTAATCTTCTTAATCTTTTGTTGTGATCTTTTAAAGAGTTGTAAATGAAAATTAGCAGTTGCTACTCGACAAGTACACCAATTATTATTGTTTTTTATTAGTTAATTATACCATGCATGTTGAATGAAGATAGTCTTGTTTATGTTGCTCACTTTGCGTTTTTGGATAAATATTTTTCTTTTACGTCAAATACGAAAAATTATGAGCGAATAAAATATATTTTACATCTATAAATAGTGCTAAATAGGGTTAATGTATGTACATATTATATTTTTAATAATAATTTTTGAAAATAGTATAAAAAAAATATATATTAAGTGAACAAATTCAAACCTATCTATTTTTTTTTTTTGTATGTGTTTCAAAGCATTAATAAATTTTTTTATTTAAAATAGATTAAAAAGGACAAATTTGAGTTAATTATTCTTTTATATTTTAAAAATTTTTATTCAATCTTATTATTATTCTTATTATTATCTTGTTTTCTAAACTCTAAAACTGGTACATTCATTACATACTTTTCATCTAGAAATTATATTATATAGCTATTTTTATTTTAAAAGCATTTTCGTTATAAAAATAATAAAGAAAAAGAGCATAAAACTTCAATGTGATTTTCGAAATTTGCTGAAAATTTTTTATAGTCCTAAAATTTCATATTATCTTTCATAATATTCCATAAAAAATCATCTCCTTTAGCATTTAACAGTGATTATAATTTACGAGTTCAAAGTGCGACTATTGATGAAAGAGAGCATGACCGTTAGTTTATTACATATTGAAGTGAACACAATCGAACAATACAACAAACTTTATGATTACTGTGCTACAATGTGCAAGTACAACCAGAGAGTAGTTGTACTTGAGTGCATAAATTGCAATCACCGTTAAGTATTAGATGTGAGGGTTTTTTAGGGAAATTCTTAGCAAATTTAAAAAATTACAAGAAAGTTTTATGCTATTTTTCCAAATAATAATAATATACTTACCCACCGCCTAGTGGTACACGATGAACTCGTAATTGTGAGGTAATTAGAATTACATGCTCTGTTCATTTAGTTTTAGATGAATTGATTTTTATTTTTTTTTTGTTTACTGAGATTGTATCATGAAACAATATATATATATATATTTTAAGATAAATATTTAATTTTTTAATTTTTTGTAATGAAAATTTGAATTTATTCTGATTTTTTATGTTTATAATAAAGTATTTTGGGTCATTTATCATTATTTTTGGAGAATTCCAATTCAAAACTAGGAAGAACAAATTCATACTTTTAAATATATATATATATTTTTTATATTTATTAGAAATTTTGGCGAAAAACGTGAGAGTCTCTTATGTAACCATAAAAATTATATCTGCAAATATTTTCTTTTCTGTTTAAAAAATTGTTCGGTTTGTCTTTTATGAGACAAAAAGGACAACGATTTAATGATGGGGCTATATTGTAATTACTCTTTATACGAAATGTTTGTTAAAACATATTTGTCGTTTTGTGACGTTGAGAATATAATGCTCTTTCGGTAGATACAAATCATTTTTTTATTTTGTTTCTTTTTAGAGCTTTTTACGAGAAATCGCCAGAGCGAGAAATCTTGAAATTAGACTCTTGCGATGTGTTTTTTCGTGGATTTTACGACAGATTTTTATTATTTAAATTATTATTTTTTTAAATATTATATCAAATAATTATTTTTCTTTTTTAACATTATATTACAAATTTATATTACATTCAAAATATCAAATCAATCTCTGTTTATATCATATTAAACAACTATTCAAATTCAACTTTTTACTATTCAAAAATCTAAATCCAAAAACTAAAATTCACAAACAAACACACCCGATTTTGTGATATTTTGTTCTGTTGAATTTTTATTTTTTATTTGACTAGTTATTTAAATATAATATTTTATTCTCATCTTTTTTTTTATCATCATTCAAATTTATTCCGGTTTTCTTTTAGTAAAAAAAATACTTTAATTCTACTTTTTTTCTTTACCATAAAAAATTTTTCGATTAAATATAAATAAATTATATAGAATGTATTCGACTGCATAATTAAAAAAAAAAAAAAAACAAGCAAATTATTATATGTAATAGAATCCAAGTTCAAAAAACCAAAAAAAAAAAAAAAAAAAGTTAATGTGAAAATTGATGGATTAATCGCAAAATGTGTAATTTTTTTATTGAGTTAGGGTGTGTTTTTCTAACAAAAAAATCTATATATATACACATATTTTCTTAAAATTATAAATATATTACACATGCATATTTATTATTTTATATTTTTTACATCATTTTTTTTTATTTCAAATCAAAAAATTTATTTTTAAATCATTTCACAAAACAAACGCACCCGTGTCTTTACTTAATTAAGCCATTCTTGATTCCTAGATTTTTTAGGCTTTATAAAAACGAGATTTATTTGATTCAAGTTTATATAATACTAGTAGTTTCATATAAATTTTATTTAATAATTTTTTTTAAAAAAAAATAAAAACAAAATTACACAAAATAATTCTTGAAATTATTAAAAGGTAAAAACCAACTATTTTCAATGTTTGCATTTACTTCAATTCAAGACAATTTTTATATTTATTGTGTAATATTTGAACATTTCATTTGGTACACCAATTAACTACCTACAATGATGTGCCTTAGTTAACCATTCTTTACCTACCATTTATGGTGTGTTTGTTTGGAGGATTGGATTTAAATCCAATTATTCATCCAATTTTTTCTCCTTCAAAAACATCAAATCAAACACCTATTTTTCATTTTTTATATTATACTAAAAATCAATTCTAAACATTACATCAATACCTATTTATATCACATCATACAACTATTCAAATTCAAAACTTTTACTATTCAAATCTCAATCTAAAATCCAAACCATGTGCATATTTTTGTGTGACTTTAGCTTCTTATAGCTAAAATTTGGGGTTCTATTGTCTCTAGAACTCATTTCATTTTTCGATTCCGTGAAGTATGGTTATAGTAAGATAAGTCATATTAGACGACGAACAATATGTAGCACGTAAGATCTAGAAGTCATAATTTCACGCTAATAAGTTCATTCTAATACTATCATATCGTCACTTACTGGACTTATTTTTATTTTTTATTTTTTATTTTTTGTCTTACTTGTGTTTTCTTCCCAATACATCGTATCCCTTTAGAAATAAGAAATTATAGAATGTTTGTTTCGTGAAATAATTTGAATAAATATTTTTTTATATTAAGTATAAAAAATTATGTAAATAATAGAAAAATAATATATGTATATAATATATTAGTTTTTTGTTATTTTTTTTCCTGACAAAAAAAACACACCCATATTGTATTCTTGATTGTGCTCATAATATATATAAATATTAATGTGAGTAGATAAAAATTTGCATTTTTTGTAAATATTATAAAGTGTAAAGATAGAGAGTGAATATAATGTTATATAAAAATATAAATAACAACACTTTTAAAATATACTAAAAAAACAAAAAGATATAAATTTTGAATGATAGAAGTATTTAATATTTTCATTAAAAAAGATTGTCATTATAGTACTCTTTTTAATAAATAATTATATCTATTTATTGCCTTTTTGTTTTTTAAAAGCATGAACATATTTTTTTATAATGAAAAAATTATTATCTAAAAAATATGGCAAAGTAAAATAATAATAATAATAATAATAATAATAATGAAGGAGGGAATAGTTAATAAGTTGAAAGAGAAAGTATTATATCCATAGAAAAAGTTGAAAGAGAATTCGATGAAGAGAGTCGATGGGTCATCAATAAAATTGACATTAGGGATGTGTTTCAATTTAATTTCAAATCAAAATAAATGTTATTTAATTTATGTTGTTCTTAATAAAAATATATTTTTTACCCATTAACTCAATATATTCCTTTTTTTTTTTTTTTTTAAATAGATTAAAAAATATAGTATTTTATTAGTGAGTGAAATTGTCTAAGACAGTTTTGATATTTTTGTTTTAGATATGATTATTTTTATTATAATTGAAAATAGCTACTATATAATTTTTTATTTTCTTGTCCCACTTCAAAATATATTTTCCTTTTTAGTAATTATAATTCTATTATTTTACATAAATATGCATACTTTACTATCACATCATTACTTTTTCACAAAAAATAAAAATTTAATTATTTTTACGCTATTTTAACTACCTACTTTAATTAAAATAAAATTATTTTTTTAATTTCATGCCAAAAATAAATGTTTACCTTTAACCAGAATGGAGAGAGTATCTTTTTGTCAAAATATTAAGAAATAAAATTATTTTAATATAGGAATAGTGTATTATATACATAAATTATTAAAAAAATATTATAAAAGTAGTTGAGTATGTTTATTAAATAGCATTTTTATATAATATTTTATAAAAGAAGCTGTATTTTTATTGAAAAATCTATAATTGAATAGTTTTTGTTGAAAAGTTATTTATGGAACAAAACACGTTCGAACACTTTAAATGATTAACTTCATAAGCGTAGACGGTTCACAGTTATAACAACGTTTTAACAACAAAAGACAATGCATGACATAAATGAGACAAGGTGTTTGTTGACCCGGTTCGATTATCAACAAATTTACATTCGGGGATACCAATTCAGGAAGAATTCCACTAATCAGTGTTGATTAAGACACAAACAATCACAACTCATTTAACTCTAATGTTTGTCATCAGTGGTGGAGCTAGAATATTAACAGAGGGAGGTAAAATTTTTAAATTTACAAAATAAATTTTTTATTTGTAAAATAATACTATTATCATCCACTTAATAATTTTATATTTATTTTTTGCATACTAATATTAAATATTAATTATTACATCAAATATAGT